TCTTTGCAACAAATGCACGCATGAAAAAGTTGAAAACATATTTAGAGTTCTTAAAAGATACTCTATCAACCCTGTGATTTCCAAAGAAAAATAGTGAAAAACAAAAAAGTTGAAAAATTAGACTTTTAGAATTCACTTCCGTTTGCGACCGGAAGTCAGAACGACGAAAAATGAAGGTCGATCAACACATCTACATTCGATGTTCTATCACGTCCGTAAGTTTCAGTTTTATATCTGTTACTGTTCTCGAGAATTTTTTGCGACAAAATTCCATTTAAAAAATACAAATTTCCCCAAAAAACGCGAACGGAAGTAAATTTCGAAAAAGTGAGGGACACCACTGGAGATATTAACATGATGCACCATCCCTGAAAAAATCGTTCAAATTGAACCACGCACAGCGGAGATATGACCTGTACTACGAAAAGTGGAATAATAATAATAATAACTAGATACGATCTCGTTGCGAGCAACGAGAGGTCTTCCGTCCGATTCAGGAAAAGAACCTAAAATCGAGCTGAAAAAGTGATAAAAAAATTTGGTCACAAAGAGGATTGAACCCAGGTCGCCAGCGTGAAAATCCAACGCGCCTTTTTCCTCTTTATTCCCAACACGCTTAAATTACGCGTTTGAGTCCACTGCTCTAAATGTACTTGAATATACTTCTTCAACAATACACCTGTCTAAGAATCACGAAAGGCGCGCCACTATTTATAATTTCGCGCCAAACGCCACAAGTTAATCTGCGCGCCTTTTCTTTGGAATGTTTCATTAAATAGGTGTGATAGCTTCAATAGAATAAAGAAAAAGGAACGTTCTTTAAGCCTAAATTTCGAGGTTTAGAAAGTATATTTATCAGATTGTACATATTCTATATCTTATATAGGTAAGTAACACAAAAGAAGTGAAATGGTAATCATTTTAAACTTTTTTTTAATTACCCGTTTATCCCCAAAGTGAACTAACCCGATTCTTTACACCTTCATGAAAAGGTAGAAATGGTTCGATGAAAGACATGTGTCGCCCTTCGACGGTCAAGGAATCAGATTTCATTTATGTTCAATGTTCAACTTTAAATATCTTTGAGAAAAGAATGTTAATATAAACTCCATTAGACGATCTTATTTAAAAATGGTTTTCTTATTTCTGTCTTTTGTATTAGTTTAATATGACTCAAGTGTGCATGGGAAACACAGTGGTTACGTTGGTGAAAAACTAATAAATTTTGAATACTGCTCTAAATATTGTTATGTATACAGTACACCTGCAACAATACACCTGTCTAAGAATCATAAAAGGCGGGCCACTATTCATAATCTGGCGACAAACACCACGAGTAAATATTCGTACCTATCCTTTGGTCTGATCTATCAAATAGGTGTGATAGCTTCAATGATATTAAATATTAAATAAAACAACTTCTTATCGCCTTTATTTTATTTCGACGTTAAGAAAGTAAATTTAACACATTGCACACACGTATTTAGCCCAATTACACTAAAGCAGTAAAACAGAAATTAAGTTTTAAGATTGTCACTGAATTGCAGCGTACTACTAGGTGAAAGTCCACGTAGTTTTTTTACTTTTCATGTATCATTTAGTCAAACGCTCAGCTGCCTCCATAAACCCCTACTCGCGAAATGGCGGAGTTGACAGAGACAGCCGCCATCTTGGGTCCGCTTCAGATTTTCAAATATTAATATCTAGAGTTCTGATTAACCAATATCCAAACAACTTATATAGTTAGCATCGATCAAAGGGTCTCTATTATCATTCCAAAAATAAATAAAAAATGTTGAAAAACAAAAAAGTTATAAAAATACGATTTTTTTAATTTGCACCTCGTAACGACCGGAAGTACTGACGACGCACGAAAAGGTGATTCTGCAAACCAGAAAGTCATGATCTATCATCTCCAATAAGTCTCCATATCATATCCTTAGCCATTTTCGACAAAAAGGGGCGACAAAATCGCATTTTAAAATCAGGAAATTGTCCATAACTTGGCACCAAGAGCGAGTTTTCCAAATTTCTCTTCGGATGTAACAACTTCATATAATGACACATATTTTGTGAAAGTTTCATGAAAAACCGCTGAATAGTTTTCGAGAAATCGCCTGCACAAAATTTTGTCAAAAAAAGAATAATAATAATAATAAATAAGAAACAATAGAATCACTATAAGGTCTTCCGTGAAGACGGAAGACCTTAATAATAATAGAAAACAGAAGGAAAACAAGAAGGTCTTCCGAAGGAAGTCGGAAGACCTTAATAATAATAAGAAACAGAGTAAAAACAATATGTTCCCCAACTTCGTTTGGGGAACATAATAATAATAATAAGAAACAGAGTAAAAACAATATGTTCCCAAACTCCGTTTGGGGAACATAATAAGAAACAGAGTAAAAACAATATGTTCCCAAACTCCGTTTGGGGAACATAATAATTCACATTCTGTTGCTGTTGTTTATTTACTGTCCACTATTATTACGTAAGTATAGTGTACACAACCCTGACTACAGTAGGTAGGTAGTGTTAGTTACCCCGCAATGTTTACACAAACACGGTGCCTCCTTTGACACTTCAATTACAACCAATTAACGGTACTGCACACAGGGAATTATGTTGTAAAGAAACTTCATTCTATGAATTGAATATTGAATGGACTGTATCAAGTCATATTTTAAAATTGCATTTGAAACATTTTTTGATCTAAACATAATTACCGATTATACACTTGAGTTTTTCGAATTTATATATATATTATTCATATAACATATACAGTTATATTGCAGTAAACCCCGTGTCCAGCATTATCTCCTCCCAGAAGCTCCCGAAGGAACTCAAGACACAGATATGAAAGGAGGTGTATTTACATGTAAAAATAAATAAAGACATGTACTTAGTTGTCACCGTTAGGTATCCGTACATGTTATACTATACCTGTGCAATCAAAAGCTGTTCGAGTTTTAGAAAAAAATAAAGTATAAATTATTAACAGAATTATATTTTTAAATTGCCAAAATTGTCAAATATGACCCCAAACAGCTTAACAGATTGCTTGTTCCAGACGATGATATTACAAGTACAAAAATATTTTATTGAAAATGTTTATTACCTAAGAAAAAAGGATTTGAACGACGACGCGATTGAAGCGAAAAAACGACAGAAACGCGCTTTACTCATCGTGATAAGTAAGCAAAATATAAGGAAAAGTTCAAAAAACTGCCATTAAAAGGACTTTCTTTTAATTTTGAGACGATAATTGGAATGAAGACCGCCTATCGACAATTGAATATACCAATGGTTTATGATTTTCGCATGTTAATTTACATATATCCAATAGAAATAAATGTGTAATATACACAACCAATCCATGACGATAAACTCGCGCAACTTAATTTCTTTTTAATTAATATCTAGTGTTTGATGGATCCAATGGAAATCGGTTGTGATAGTGTATAGGGCTGGGTATTGGCCCGAGATTTCATATTGCGATATATTGCGATATTTTTAACTGTATTGCGATATGTATTGTACTATTTTAAATGTAATTTAAATGACATTTTCTTACTATATTTACTTTTATTTTACATGCAGAATGTACATAACTATGATAGGTAACCAACACGGAAAAAAAATCTTGTTGATTTCATTTAAGTTATGCTCTGATATGTTCCCACAAAACAACTTCTGTCTTAAAGTTTGGCTTAATACCAAACTTTCATAAATCCATTATTATATTTAAAGACAAAAGACATTAATCTTAGCATATTGCTAATATATCGATATTACAAAATCGTATTGCGATACGATTTTTTTTTTCATTGTATCGCAATATATTGAAATATCGATATTATTGCCCAGCCCTAATAGTGTATTTAATATCGAGACGTTAATGATTTCAAATGATATTCTTTGTTATTTTAAGTTGGAAAAAAAGCTGGATTGTCGCGTCGTTATAGTAATATGGGACTTACATCTAACATTTACCGACATTTAATGATCCAAAACTATCCCCAAATCAGAAATTGTAATTAAAAGTCGGTACTTCTTTCTTTGAGCAGATTCTAGATATTTTATTAAAATGAGAAATACGTTTATTTATGTATTTTTTTTTTTTTATTTATTTATTTCTTAAATCTGACTTATTTATAAAATAGATTTATATGTTTTCCTTAACAAATATATTGTGTGCAATTAAATAGTAATCAACATGTGTAATGTAATATTTCTAATAATCATATTTTTCTTGCTTTCTTTTTTTCTTCGTAAATCTATTCATTCGTGCTACTGAATCTAGCATTTTATTACTGTGAAGTTTGTCGGTCAGGTCTTTAGTGCGTAAGGTCGGTCAGGTCTTTATTATGCATAGTCGGTCAGGTCTTTAGTATGTATAGTCGGTCAGGTCAGGTCACGTATTATTTATCAATGGCTGATGCCAGGCCAAAACTTCTTATATTACTAACAAAAGCATAGCATATACTATAATATATTATTTCAGTATGTATTTATATTTTAAATACTGATTCAATAAAGTATACACAAATTCTTCTATTTTGGTTTACACGTTCAAGCGGTTTTCTACGGTCAGGTCAATGCATATATCATATATAAGTCCAAAATGTTATTCGTATCGATCTAAAATCCTTTATTACTAAGTATTTTACTTAAATATTCATAATATATCGTGAGCTTAATCTAATTTTTAGTCTAAATATGACGGACTATGAGGAATTTCATTTGGTCAGGTCAATACCTATTTGGTCAGGTCATTCAATTATCACAAAAATGTTGCATAATTATTAACAATTATTTCGGTAAAAGTGTACCACAAATACTTTTGTACAAATATCTTTATATGTCAAACAAGAATATAGCTTAAAACTTTTCATTATTAATACTTAAATTATCATTTATAACGAATTTTATGTTGGTCAGGTCAGTCAGGTCTTTAGTAGGTCAGGTCTTTAGTATCTTCCCTTGGACTTTGACTCTTCTGTTTCGGAGGAGGTAAGATAACAACAATCATGGCGTCGATAGCTCGCTGTCTGCTCAGAACGGGACAAACTACCGCAAAAGTTGTTAGCAGAGGTATAAAATAATGAATGAACAAATTTTGAACATATTGAATCAATAATTGAATGATTATTCAATCCGGTTTTCTTGCAAAGCTATGTATTTCTTTGGCAGCATTAACTCAGCGGAAAATTAGTTGTGTAACCCGATTTTACTCTGTTGTCAGTGTTGTGTAACGTTTTGATTTCTTTTCGTTTTAATATAGCATATACACGTCACTGCTTTCATGAAGCTTTAAATAATTTCCCACCAAGCGTTTTTTTATAAAGCAGATGTGTAAATGTACGATGAAAATTTAAATATCTGCGGCTGCCAAGTCCTTCAACAGGTTGGGAACACATCCCCTTTAGCGAGATCATCTCGCTAAAGCGCGATTATCCCTTTGTAGCGGGAGAAAATACATCTCGGAAAACCGAGATTTGTACTCTGATTCAAACTGTAATCGTGTTAACTTCTGAAAAAGGAAAATCCGGGAGTATGTTAACCCATTCGATAAATATTTATTGTCTCATCTCAATAAATTTGCTTCAAAATATTGCCACTACTGCTGCAAATCATGGAAATTAGAATAAGTTTATGAACAATAGCGTAGCCTTCCTACGGAGGACCACATTTGATAATTATCAGAACAACTAAACTTACTTCGGGTATACGGTTATTGTAATTGCATGTTTACCTTTTTTCTAATACGCCTGCTTGAAAAGCGGGAGTATATACAGCAGGACATAGTGATGGGGTGTCCGTCACTTTGGACTTTCCATAGGGCATGACGATCTCGAGACGAAGTCTGTTTAGTGACCTATAAATTCTCAAATCGCCTGATTGACTGATATAAAGTCCCACCTTCTTACTGTAAGAAGCGCACTCATTGGTTCTTTGCTACACTCATCAGAGTTTCCAGGATCTTCTAACAGATACATGTATATTAATTTTTTCTGTATATTTTACCCGTGAAATAATACGTTCAGTGTCAGTTTTAAATTCTAGTCCTACGTAAATTACCGGTAATCAACCCTAAAAATTATTTTATCCTATACTATTGCACTTTCATATTGGAAACGTGATATTTTAGACGGCTAGAGATGGTACATTAGATGGACGGATAGGTGGGGGAGGGGTACTAGAAACAAATACAGTAGGTAGGTTGTGCATGGTAAAAGCTATCGACGTAACCATTTTTAAATCTTTACCATTTTAATTGAAAGTCTTATCGGTGATCAATTAAGACTCGATCTTCTAATAAGGAAGCTATTAAAGGTGACAATAGCCTCTCTTATTAACTAAATAAAACAATTACAAGGTATAATAAAATGTAAAATTCGAAGTATTCCATGCAATGTTTGTAGATATTCTTTCAAAATAAAGAATGTCTTTACCAGTATTCACCTGCCGCCAAAATACGGCTGAAATCTTGCCGACTCGGCATTTAACAATAACAATCAACACTTTTAGCTTTTTTAGCTCACCTGAGCCGAAGGCTCAAGTGAGCTTTTCTGATCACATTTTGTCCGTCGTCCGTCCGTCCGTCCGTCTGTCCGTTACAGTTGAGAGGTACATTGTGCATTTTACGGAAGGTGCGGGGTTATCATTTTGCTTTGTGGGGTTATTAATAGTACAGTGGTGACTTGAGAGGTTTCATTAGGAATTCAAACAAATGGTATATTGTGGGGTTAAAGGTCTATATTTGTGGGGTTAAAGATCTATATTTGTGGGGTTAAAGATCTATATTTGTGGGGTTAAAGATCTATATTTGTGGGGTTAAAAATTAATTATTTAATATCAAGTCAACTTTACAGGCAACTAATTATAAGTACTTTTAAAATTGTTACTGTTTATCTGAATAACTTAGAACGGATATAGCAATAACATTTTTCAACTACTGCATAGCAGTAACAATGCAAAAAAATGTTTTTATTTGAGGATAACTGTTGCATCAAAGTAAATTAACCCAACATATTTCACATGAAGATGATAGACAAGAATATCCAAGAAAGTGTTAAACAACCCCACTATGCTATATAGATATAACAGACAACACTAACCCCATAAATTATAAGACAAACAACCCCAGTGTGTACTCTTATAAAGATAATAGACAACACTAACCCCATTAAGTGTTTGGACAGCAACCCCACTATGTACTCTCATAAAGATAATAGACAACACTAACCCCATAAAGTGTTTGGACAGCAACCCCACTATGTACTCTCATAAAGATAATAGACAACACTAACCCCATAAAGTGTTTGGACAGCAACCCCACTATGTACTCTCATAAAGATAATAGACAACACTAACCCCATAAAGTGTTTGGACAACAACCCCACTATGTACTCTCATAAAGATAATAGACAACACTAACCCCATAAAGTGTTTGGACAGCAACCCCACTATGTACCCTCATAAAGATAATAGACAACACTAACCCCATTAAGCATTTGGACAGCAACCCCACTATGTACTCTCATAAAGATAATAGACAACACTAACCCCATAAAGTGTTTGGACAGCAACCCCACTATGTACTCTCATAAAGATAATAGACAACACTAACCCCATAAAGTGTTTGGACAGCAACCCCACTATGTACTCTCATAAAGATAATAGACAACACTAACCACATAAAGTGTTTGGACAGCAACCCAACTATGTACTCTCATAAAGATAATAGACAACACTAACCCCATTAAGCGTTTGGACAGCAACCCCACTATGTACTCTCATAAAGATAATAGGCAACACTAACCCCATAAAGTGTTTGGACAGCAACCCCACTATGTACTCTCATAAAGATAATAGACAACACTAACCCCATAAAGTGTTTGGACAGCAACCCTACTATGTACTCTCATAAAGATAATAGACAACACTAACCCCATAAAGTGATTGGACAGCAACCCAACTATGTACTCTCATAAAGATAATAGACAACACTAACCCCATTAAGCGTTTGGACAGCAACCCCACTATGTACTCTCATAAAGATAATAGACAACACTAACCCCATAAAGTGTTTGGACAGCAACCCCACTATGTACTCTCATAAAGATAATAGACAACACTAACCCCTTAAAGTGTTTGGACAGCAACCCCACTATGTACTCTTATAAAGATAATAGACAACACTAACCCCTTAAAGTGTTTGGACAGCAACCCCACTATGTACTCTTATAAAGATAATAGACAACACTAACCCCATAAAGTGTTTGGACAGCAACCCCACTATGTACTCTCACAAAGATAACAGACAACATTAACCCCATAAAGTGTTTGGATAGCAACCCCACTATGTACTCTCATAAAGATAATAGGCAACACTAACCCCATAAAGCGTTAGGACAACAACCCCACTATGTACTTTCATAAAGATAATAGACAACACTAACCCCGTAACGTGTAACAACCCCATTATTTTCTTATATAGATAAAAGATAACATTAACCCCACAAAGTGTTAGACAAGAACCACAATATGTTCTGATAGAAAATATCAGACATCTTAGTAACCTCAGAGTGTTAAACAAAGAACCCCGCTGTGTTCTCATGTAACAGATACCAGTAACCATATGAATTGAAGTGTTTGAAAACCCCAGTATGTTCTAATATCAAAAAACTCTACCAGGGACTGGTAATAAAAGAACAAGTACCCCCACTATGTTCAATCGCAACTTCTCGAGCCTTTCTGACTAGCTGACAAACGACCTCGAATGTATTAGTAAGACGCCATGGCAACAACCCCCCTTTTCATGATCTTCGAAATAAATGCATGAAGACCTTTTATCTGTGGAATATTGAGTTTAACTTTATTCAATGCTATGATATTACATAAAATATACTATAAAAGGGACTTCTTACTTCCTCTATCCTATATTTGAAAAAAACAAGAAAAGCAAAACCTTTAACATCAGGTGATGTTAATACATTCGAGGTTGTTTTTCCGAACTCTGACGGAAAGACCCTGAGTGAGATGATGCGATTGCCAGTACGTCATATCCTTTTTTTTACTATTAAAAATACCAAACAATTCTCATAATACTTTTTCCTATTTTGATAACATACTCGAAAATTTGTTTTAAATATTTTTCAAACTATTTTTAATTAGATAATCTCTTTATCTTCACTGCTTATTTCTAATGAGAATTTTTCCTTTGAATCTGCTGGTGCATGAATTTGAAGTGTACATTATGCATCAAAAGTATACATAATTTCATTGTAAATTAATAATAATAAATAAAAGAGATGATCCTGATTTTTTTAAAAAAAATTTAATCAAACTTTTCAGTTACTCGACAAGTTGAACACAGATAAGAAACATGTCAATAAATGTAGAACACAGAAAAAAAAACCCTCAAAATTTGAGACAATCTTCATAGATGTAAAAAAAAAAAACCAAGTATATAGTGAGTTGTCAAATAACTCTAAAACTTGCATGTTATTGCTACTTATTTTAAACAAAATATATTAATTAAAATGAAGTTTTAAGAAAAAAAGTGTAGTCTAATATCTCATCATTTTGCATTTTAAAATTGATCTTAAAACAAAAATAACGATGTACATCCTTTTGGAAAATATACTCAAACTTAGAGCTGCACCCCCACTCCCGTCCCCTAAAATAAAATGAAAAAAAAAACCAACATGCAATTGATTTATACTTTTCAAAAAAATAAAAATCAAACAACATAAATGTACATTTCAGTTTAATAATTATTTCTCACATTTAAAATGAAATCGCTAATTAAAAAAGACGAAAACTATGACTGTTAATGTATAGAAATTTGCCATGCCGAATGCAATGTTCATAAAAGATCCTTTTGTCTTAAAGCTGAGCACTACTCATAAACATAAGTAATCAGATATTACATAGCTCAATTCAAAAAATGATTACTTCAAGTAAGACACGGTCTCACATTTAACTAATAATCAAGAAGTTAATTTAAGGTTTGCAGTAACTTGAGAATAGACATCCAAATACTTGAAACTAGTTGCCCATCAAGAAAATGTAATTCAAATCCACGACCCATGTAAATGTTATCTTTTTTAGATCAACTTTCAAAAATCGATTCTTCTTTTTCTGAAAAGTAAGTCAGGTCCTGAATGTCGCCGTCTGGAGAAGGCAATGGCAAAAATGAATCGGGATTGTGCTTGTTCTTCTGAAAAGTCTTTAACTCATACTTCATGTATACCTGTCAAAAAAAATACAGTAAAATATATTTCTAAATGATAATGTTGAATTTTTTTACAGGTTATGTTTTAATTTATTGTAAAATAATATTGTTGTCTTGATTTTATGGGCACTTATAACATGTACTAACCACCGATCTGGATGTCTTTAATAGTTGCTTTCCTTAAATTTGTGAACTATATTCAGATCACAAATTGTGTGTTCAAGTCACAGGTTTGTTCTTTCAACTTTATGAATGTCCGACGCCTGCTGGTGTTGCTGCAACAATAGAGTGGCCTAGATCATCAAAGTTCCACTGATGTTCACTTTCAGTGGTATCTGAACTCTACAAAGGAATACAGAAGCAAATGTTTATTTATAACACATACAAAAATTCCGAGTAACTAATTAAAATTCATCGAAATTTATTTATAGCATAGTTGTGATGTACTGTGAACTACTTTCTTATATTGGTAAAAGGTGAAAAAGTACAGTCAAACTTGTTTTAATTTGGGAAGTCCAGAAACTAGCCAGGTGGCCTCTTATTCCAGTTAGCCCAAGAAGTAGCCAGTCGGTCAATAAATAAACAGCAATAACCACTACAGTTGATTTAATTAAACATGTCAATTTCACATAACCTTTGTATGTGTGTATATATATATATATATATATATTAATCCATGCTTATTTAAAAAATATCACATTAAAGAATTCCAAATTTTTAAGGTTTTGTGCATGTTTCTGTTCCTACAAAACAGTTAAATTTCATACATTCATAAGTGTAAATTACAGAGTTCACGAAACGCACCGGTCCACCGGGGATCCCCGGTAAACTTTGAATTGGACCGGTAAAATCTTAATCTTATCGGTCAAAATGTCCGATGGTTTTTTTTTTACAGACTGTATAACGTTTACATATAATCTTAACAAAATAATTTAATTCAATTGTCCTGACAATAAACAAATGCAAAACTAAAGGAATGAAAAAAAACGTCAGGGGCGCGCCAGATCTTGTTTAAATAAAATGTGTAAAATTGTCTACTATAAAAAGCTACATATTAAAAAAAAAATAATTTCCATAAGTCTGGGAGGAAAAACAGTTTTAAAAACACTGTCAAACAAATATTTTCCCTCTGATAAATATATGCACTCTGTAGTTCTGACAGTAAAAAAATGTGACAATCTACTTTCGTTTTGAAGGACGAATTTGCAGGGTTGCAAGAGTTGCCTGCTATTTCTGCTTGATTACAAACAATTTGTTACCATTTATTATTTTCTCTATAATTTAATCTATTAGCATGATAATATTATACCAACTTCTGGATTTTTCTAATGTATTTGATAGCATTTAAAATACATGCGCGTTTTTCCCCTTTTCTAAAAATAGCGGACTGACTTGAATGTAGTAAAACGACAACAAATTCACTTAAAATCATCATTTTCATGATAAATTTGCATATCTTTATATCATTAGTACATATTTTTAACTATGTGGAGGTTGTATAATAAATTTAAACTAGTCAGAAATATCGGACGTTTTCCAGGCTTTTTAAAACGAGTTTGATATTTTACGTAATATTTTTCCTGGCACATAAAATACCAAAATCCAAAAGAAAAAAGCAGCCTGGAAAACAACATATATTTCCCACTAATTCCAAACAATCAACCAAGAGTTGTCATGTTGCAGATTTTATTTTTAAAAAAATTTTTTAAAAATCTGTCAGAAAGGACATAATAATTTTATACGATGAATTAAGCGTTGGTCATCACACGCCGTCGGCGACGTCAAATCCTGCACACACAGGCCTTATAGAAAATATTTTAATAATTTTTTTTTAAAAAATCTGCATTTGCCATCTTTTTATTTACACATATTATTTATTATATCGACACAATTTCCAATCCTATAATATGTTAAATTTACATACAAAAAATTAATGTCAGGTAAATTTTACAACTGTCCGGTGAATTTTGAATATTTACAGGACAATTGTCCGACATATTTTTTGACTAGTTTCGGGAACTCAGAGTGTTCTTTTGTTACATTCAAATATATGATAATTGAATTACAGTATAATTCAAGAAGAAATACACGTGCCTTACTACTATCTATTTTTTTAATAAGAAAAAATACACAAGCTTTAATTAAAAGACAGTTTAATGGTGAATTAAAAGTATAAAAATTTATTTCAGTAAGTGTCAATAAAATCCATTTAAAAACTTCACTATCATATGTTCAGGTAATGATCAGCAGTGTAACCCCCCCCCCCCCCACCCTTCAATTAATCCTCGATCAACTAGTTTGCTGAAGTTTTTAAAGTCTGGTAAATTTTTAGTATTATTTTCATAAAGCTGTCAGAATTTCTATCTAACATACAGACACACACAAAAAATTATTCAATTGACCAAAGATTTGTATTTACGCAGTTTAAAATCATTCTACACAACACAGGTGTCAAGTGCAGTAGAGCGTAACTAATCCCTATCGATCGTCTCCTGATAGTGAAATTCACGAGATAATCATGCTATACAAAACATTTGTTTTGACAAAAGTTGCAATTAGAGCTTCTACACGGAATCAAAATCTAACAGGTGTGAAAATACTGATAGCCCTGTATTAGCTAAGTCACATACTCTCACTGTAAATATTCAAAGTAATGATATGAATTAATATTGTAAATTACAAAATGTAGCTTTAAGCTTGAATTTCGTTAAGTTAAGCTATGGAAAAACTATTAATTGTGATTTCTTTTAAATTTTCAATCGTCGATCTTGAAAAATAAGTACAAATTGATCTTAAGGACAATTATATTTTTTCCATTAACACAAACAGAGTTATATATACGTATCTAAAGGTAATTTGTTTAATTTCTTTAATAGGTGAATTTTATTATCGGGCACATAATTACACAAGCGAATGTGTAAAAAATGTGACATATTGGGTATTTTAACAACTGATTAAAATGTCCTGCACTCATTTATAAACATTGATTGTCATTTATCAAATTGATATACCACTAAATTTTACAACCTAATTATACAACCCCATATTGATTCCTACGAAGCCTACTTGCTGTGAAAATTTATTGCAGTGACATTGTTAATTCCATTTTTCCATTCTGATTTTCTCTCTATAGATTAAGGTATGATTACAAGTACATGTAAACAAATGTGTGAAGAGTAGATAAACAATTGGTACGTATCTAGAATGAATTCAGAGAGAGAGAGAGAGAGAGAGAGAGAGAGCAATTATACTACGAAACAGGATAAAATTAAAGCCAAAAATATTCAATTTGAAAAAAATTAAACACGGAAGATTTAAAAATTAATCGGGAGGGGCGGAAGAGGCATGAAAAATCCAGAGATTTTGTCTCCCGTCGGAAGAATCACATGTATTTATGTTATGAGATATCTGCATGTATTTACCATAGGTATAGAGAAAACTCGAATTAAGAAAAAAAGACGATCGTTTTTGGAAGTAAATAAGCCAAGAAGTACTCCAACACGGATTAAATTATGGAGATTTATTGACAGTTGGAGCATGTTATATGGAAAATTTAAATGGTTTGGATTTTTATAGCAAAAAACGAGTGAAAATACGTACCAAGTGTGCTTTGCATGTATTGCATGTGTATAAAAAATATCTTTTTTACTGGCCAACGGGGCGACCTTCTTGCAGAAAACCACTAGCCCGACCCCCCGGGTATCGGTCGATTTTCATTGCAGACCTCTGATTAAAAAAAGAACTATCAGTGCATTCATTATCATTTTTTTTTACAAAAGCCCGTTTTCAATAGGTTTGTGTTTATGTGGACTACAGATTTCCTTTCCTTGACTTTAAATAAATTCTACAACTGCATAATGTACGTATGAAGCATGTCAAACAACTTACAAAGCTTTTTTTCAATGTGGTGCAACAAAATAGTAAGACTTACTGCATTTGCTTTTTGTGTTTCCGAATTTCCTCACTGCTAATACAAAGTGTCCAAACACAGCTACTTCCGTATTCTGCGCATGCGCAGTTAGTTTTAAATATATGCGCATGCTCAGGTATTCGGAACTCCTCGATTCAATTACCGAACTCCTCTAAACAGCAGATTTCTGAATGTCTGAGCGTTTTGGGCTAAGGACATGTCCAAAATTTGGACAAAGTCTTTGTGAGGTTAAATCTAATTTTAGGTTTTTCGACCTCATAGAGTAATTTTGAACGTAATTAGACCTCTTCATTATGGGGTTAACCCCACAGTACCCAAAAAACCCCACACTGCTGGAAAATACGTTAATTTTACCCCACAATGTACCTCTCGTAAGAACAGCGTCTGTCTGTCTGTCCGTCTGTAAACTTTTCACATTTTCGACTTCTTCTCAAGAACCACTGGGCCAATTTTGACCAAACTTGGTACAAAGCATCCTTGGGTAAAGGGGAATTTAAATTGTTAAAATGAAGGGACATATCCCCTCGCAAGGGGAGATAATCAAGAAAAGACCAAAATAGGGTGGTGTCATTAAAAAATCTTCTTCTCAAGAACCACTGGGCCAGAAAAGCTGAAACTTATGTGGAAGCAACCTGGGGTAGTGTAGATGCTAAATTGTTCAAATCATGAACCCCGGGGGAAGGGCGGGGCCACAATGGGGAATCAAAGTTTTACATAGAAATATATAGGAAAAATCTTTGAAAATCTTCTTCTCAAGAACCACTGGGCCAGAAAAGCTGAAACTTATACGGAAGCATCCTGGTATAGTGTAGATTCTAAATTGTTCAAATCATGACCCCCGGGGGAAGGGTGGGGCCACAATGGGGAATCAAAGTTTTACATAGAAATATATAGGAAAAATCTTTGAAAATCTTCTTCTCAAGAACCACTGGGCCAGAAAAGCTGAAACTTATGTGGAAGCATCCTGGTATAGTGTAGATTCTAAATTGTTCAATTAATGACCCCCGGGGGATGGGTGGAGCCACAATGGGGAATCAAAGTTTTATAAAGAAATATATTGGAAAAATCTTTGAAAATCTTCTTCTCAAGAACCACTGGGCCAGAAAAGCTGAAACTTATGTGGAAGCATCCTGGTATAATGTAGATTCTAAATTGTTCAAATCATGACCCCCAGGGAAAGGGCGGGGCCACAATGGGGAATCAAAGTTTTATATAGAAATATATAGGAAAAATCTTTGAAATTTTTCTTCTTAAGAACCACTGGGCCAGAAAAAGTGAAGCTTATGTGGAAGCATCCTGGGGTAGTGTAAATTCTAAATTGTAGGAATCATGACCCCCGGGGGAAGGGCGGGGCCATTATAGGGAATCAAAGTTTTACATAGAAATATATAGGAAAAATCTTTGAAAATCTTCTTCTCAAGAACCACTGGGCCAGAAAAGCTGAAACTTATGTGGAAGCATCCTGGTATAGTGTAGATTCTAAATTGTTCAAATCATGACCCCCAGGGAAAGGGCGGGGCCACAATGGGGTATCAAATTTTTACATAGAAATATATAGGAAAAATCTTTGAAAATCTTCTTCTCAAGAACCACTGGGCCAGAAAAGCTGAAACTTATGTGGAAGCATCCTGGTATAATGTAGATTCTAAATTGTTCAATTAATGACCCCCGGGGGATGGGTGGTGCCACAATGGGGAATCAAAGTTTTATATAGAAATATATAGGAAAAATCTTTGAAATTTTTCTTCTTAAGAACCACTGGGCCAGAAAAAGTGAAGCTTATTTGGAAGCATTCTGGGGTAGTGTAAATTCTGAATTGTAGGAATCATGACCCCCGGGGGAAGGGTGGGGCCATTATAGGGAATCAAAGTTTTACATAGAAATATATAGGAAAAATCTTTGAAAATCTTCTTCTCGGGAACCACTGGGCCAAAAAGCTGAAACAAATGTGCCCATGGAAGGATCATGTGGGTGTGTAGATTTCAAAATGTCTAAATTATGATCAGTGGGGTAGGGTGGGGATGCATTATGTATAACAAGGGTGAAATCTGGTAAAGAACAGAATGGTCAAAGCTTCTCAGGTGAGCGATGTGGCCCATGGGCCTCTTGTTTTTATTTATTTGATTTTTGGGGGCAGATTTTTCAGAAGCTCCCCCCTTTTTTTTTAAATATAAAAATGCCACCTGGTCTGTGTGCTTTCATGTAGCCTATGTTTTGGAAAGTACTAGTATCTGATTTCCTTTTAAAATTTACACATTTTAACTTATGCAGGATCCCAACATATGTTTCCAATGCAATTAAAGTGCATGTCCTCAAACGAAGAACTGTTCATTGCCACTGGGTAAAAACATTAAGAATTTATGTCATTAAAATACGAATACCTAGGGAATATTATACTTCTTTAATTATAATTAACAACACGTAAGTAGCAGCAATTTCAACAATGCAATTTCGCATTTTCGTTTAGTTATTAAATTTAATTCAAGGTAACATGTTTACACTTTCAACAGGCACGTTTCTGTGTTAATGAAAAGAAGGGTAAGTGTAACTGAAAAAAAGTTCGAAGCTAACCCCACCCCCACCCCCCCCCCCCCCCCCCCCCTACCCGCATGAAATAGGATTTTCAGGTTTGGACAATGGTCAAATTCTCCTCTTTTTGTCAAGTTTTTTTCAGGTTGATTTTTTTTCTCTTTGAATTAGCCATCCCCCCCTTTCCAATTTGCTTGCAACGCCGCTGAATCATGCTTTCCTGAATTAACAAGTTTACCATGCATCAACATTTGTACTAAGTCAATATCGGTTAGACTCAATATACGGTAAACCATTTTTTATTAATTTGTTTTCAATATTAATGGTTTACCCATATTCTATACACATCTCAGTTTATACTTGCTTTTTAATCATGACTTTTCCACAAACGTTACAACCCTGTTGCGCTTCCGTACTTCTTTGCGTCAACCAAAGATCAAATATTTAAGCAAATATCATGGGTTTCTAAAGAATATTATTTTTAACTTTTGTACAAGAATTGAAAGCTAAGACCCTAACGAATATAATTTGGATATCTATACATATTTTATATGCTTCAAAAACATATATGACTGTAAATCTTGAAACCTTCGCTAAAAAGGCACGATTTACACGTGGATTTTAGCATCTTATTCTCACACGCAGCAGTGATTGTCTTAAATTTCTGGCCAATATTGTCAGTTTTTTGTAGTAAATTCACGCTTCAATGCAGCTTTCTCCCGGATTTTCAATACGCACGAGATTTTTGATTATTTTATAACGAAAACAACAAAATTCCCGTTTATGGTAATGTTTTTTCTTCCGCTAAAGAGGGATAATCACGCTTTAGCGAGATGATCTCGCTAAAGGGGATGTGTTCCCAACCTGTTCAACAGGTCCAGCACAATCGCTTGATTAAGCTATATAGCTTTAAAAAGCTATATAGCTTTATTAAGCTATTCAAAATAGCTTGATAAAGCTATTTATAGGCAATTTTTCACAAAAAACGTTTTTCGAAAGAAATAAGCAAAAAGTCGCAAATATTTGACTTTTCATATATTTACTATGGACTATCAAAAATACAACCTAAATCATAGAAAGTTCTAACATTGCTGCTGTTGAATACTTTTAAGCAAAATATGAATTTCCATGGTTTGAGTAACTGTGTGTGCGATGAGGCATGGATAAGTATGATTGCTTCTCATTGTGTTTAACTGCTACTAATCATTTATCCTGCTGGCCATAACTGACATCCTTTATAATTTCATTCAAGAAATAACTGTGTGGTCACTCATCAGTAGCCCCAAAACTTTTCAAACTTTGAGTATAAAGTCTCTCAAGGAGACGCAATTTGGTGAGTGATTTTTACATGCATTGTATTCAGAAGAGTACAAAGTTTAATATTTTCACTGCACCAAGGTGCGACTTTTTGCACATGTTGAAAAAATAACACATTTTAGAAAAAAGTCTGAGAAAATAGCTTAATCAAGCTATTCTGAATAGCTAAATAAAGCTATATAGCTAAATCAAGCTATATAGCTTAATCAAGAGATTGTGCCGGACCTGTTCAACACTTGCAGTATACAGGTCCATTATAATCAGTACAAGCCTACAAGGTTCAGCACAACAATTACATTTTTATCTAGCTTCTTAGCTTAAATTAGATTTAAAGCTTTTTAGGATAGCTTGCTTTAAATATTTTACCATACATGTCTCCATTTAGCAGGTCCAGTACAATCGCTAGATTTAGCTACGTAGCTTGATTTACCAACTTAGCTTTATTTACCTACCTGAAATAGTTTTATTTAGCTACCAACTCAATATATTTCTATAAAAAAGCATTTTTCTCAGGGTGTGCAGAAAATATCATCTTGATGAATTGATCATTTTCAACTTTGAACTCATCTGAAAACAACTCATGAAAAAATCCCTCTTAGAAAAATGTCTTTTTCTGCGCAATTGCAATTAAAGTTATGAAAGTTTTGGGGCTATGTATGACTGTTAGAACAGTTACTCCTTGGATGAAATGACAAAGAAGTCCAGTTCCGGTTAAGTTCGGGTTAACATGATAATAGGTCGGTAATTATTCAGCACAATGTGAAGTAATCATGCTTAGCCATGCCTCACTGGGTGCATGAGAGAGGACAGTTTACCAAACAAAGGAATTACAAGTTTTGCTCTAAATTGTCCAAACGCAGCAATGTATAAACTATCTCTGCTTTGGGTTGTTTTTTAAGCCTCCGTAGTGTAAATATCAGTAGTCTTTTAATTGCGATTTTTTGTCTCCTTTTAATAAAAAGAAAACTTTTGAAAAGTTACATTGAAATAGCTAAATAAAGCTACCTGAGGTAGGTAAATAAAGCTACGTAGGTAATTCTACCTACGTAGCTAAATCTAGTGATTGTACTGGACCTGTTTAGCTGCAGAAATGTAGGGTTATGTGTTTATGTATTAGTCTTTGACCATAACGCTACAGATCCTGTTATGCAAAAAATGTGCAATTTATGGCGCAAGATTTTTTGCAAACTTTTTGGGAGAATTTCTCCACTTTCCAGCATTGGTTTACCAACTATCTTTTACTTTCGTATTCTAGACACATTCTTTAATCAGTCTGTATTTTTTTTATCACTCCCACCACTTTATAGTCGTCTTTGCAAGTGATAAACTTGCTTGATTAGAATTGGCTGTCGGATTGCTAAAAGTTCACCTCAAGCAAGTTTTTCAACTGTAGAGACAACTGTAAAGGGTTGGAAGGTGGATAAAATATACAAATTGGTTAGAGAATGTGTCTAGAATTAGGGAGTGAAATATAGTTGATTAACCAATTCTGAAAAGTGGAGAAATTGTCCCCAAAAGTGCGCAAAAAATCTTTCGCTGTAAATTGCACCTTTTTTGCGTTACGGGAACTGTAGCATTATGGTCAAAGACTAATATATAAACAAATAACGATACAATTCTACAGTTAGTCTCCATTCCCCTTACTACAATATACATTACACTAAACAGGCCCAGTACAATCTCCTGATTAAGCTATATAGCTCTAATTTACTAGCTATTCAAAATGGCTTTATTTAGCTATTTATAGACAGTTTTTCACAAAAATGTATTTTGTAAGAAATAAACAAAGAGATGCATGTATTTTATTCTTCATAAATGTATTATGGGCTATCAAAACGACAACCAAAATCATAGATAGTTCTAACATTGCAGCTTTTGAATACTTTTAAGAAAAAAAAAAATTCTATTGTTAGAGTAACTGTCCACTACCCTGTGTGTGTCGAGGCATAGATAAGTATGATTACTTCTCATTGTACTGAATTATTACCAATCAATTATCTTGTTGACCATAATTGGTGTCCTTTATAATTTTATTGCAGAACTAACTGCTTCAATTGCTTTATATAGCCCTATGCAAAACTTACAGAACTTTGGGTACAAAGTCTCTCAAGGAGACATAATTTGATGAGTGATTTTTACATGTATGATTGTACTGGACCTGCTTCATGATATCATGTCTACATCCGACATCCATGGAATACTGAGAAGTTACAGTCTGAATGCATGACATCTCTCCTATACCAAAATGCTGTATTTTTTTTCTTAGTCTTCCTTTGTTTATTTCAGAATACCTCAACAATGCCAGGTCCCTGTCCAGTTTGGCAGATCTCCCAGAAACACACAGCATGCTGCAGAAAAGTTGCAGGGATTTTGTTGATAATGAATTGATGCCCATTGCTGCAAAGTTAGACAAAGAACACTTATATCCAAAAGATATAGTAAGTATTTTTTCATTATAATATATTTACTAATGATAAAAATCAGCCCTCAGAAGTACACGACTTTTTAAAGGAAAAGCAATTCTGTAAGTAATTTTATGTGAATACTTAAAGTCATGAAAGGCTTGTACAAAATTACACGAAAAAAAAAAAGAATTCTATCTTCTAAACCATCAATGTAATAACAAGATCCCTCTGTAATTGACTTTTGATCAAGAGTATTTACATGATTTTTAGCATTTTAATGTGATCAAAGCAAATGTGTATTATTTTGGGCTGATGCTGTCATGAAACATGCATAATCTGATTAAAATCAGATCTTCGTTACGCTCCGAAATTGTAATGGTCACTGTCAAGATCTGATTTTAATCAGATTGGAAACATGCAATTATAAATTCCTCTGTTATCTGACTGACTCCTGATATATGATCAATGTCTTGGTCTAAATACTTCACTGACTCTTTGACACCAAAACACTTTTTCCAACTATATTATTATGGTTCTACAAGCCATTTCACAATTTTTTGTCTTGTAACCTTGCAATTTAAGTTTTGAAGATTTAAACAGAACCCAACACAAAATCCATTATATATTTTTTAGCATCAGTATGTGTAAAGCTATTACTAAATTGTTGGTTTAATTATTGTGTAATGAAAAAAGTCAGAAAGAAGTTTGATTACATTACTGCATTATATATACTTTGTGTAGATAAAGAAGATGGGGGAGCTGGGATTGATGGCGGTTGATGTCCCCCATGAGGAGGGAGGGACAGGACTGGACTATCTAGCCTACGCCATTGCTATGGAGGAAATCAGCAGGGGATGTGCTTCTACAGGGTGTATCATGAGTGTCAATAATGTAAGTTTTGTTTTCATACTTCAGATCTTAAAAAAAAAATCATAAATATGAATTTTTAATGGAGGTTTGTTGCAATATAAATGTGTTTAGCAGTAGGAATATCCTTATACAGAATGCTTTATTGTTCTTTAATTGCTTTTTAGATAAGATATTGAGCTTATACACATTAGTAAATTGGGTTTTTCAGGGTCTGCTTCATTTGTGTATCAATATTTAATTTTAGTCCCTTTACCTTGGACCAATAAATAAGTGGGCCACAGCAGCACAAAAAGAAGTTTTTCAGGAGCCTTTTTTACACGGAGACAGAGTAGGGTGTTTTGGTTTAAGTGAACCAGGTTTGAATCTTATTTTTCACAATCATTATCTAATTAAGACACTGTGTAATCTGGATAGGGCCATGCAGTTCACTATCGCACCATCGAGCATCAACTAAAGGTGGATGACGCAATGATGCGATATCGATAAAGCGATAACGCTGAAACGATGTGTCATTGCACTATCGCTTCATCTTACCATTGCATCATTGTAATCGCATTGTTGTGTCATCGCACCATCGCTTCATTGTCGTCGCATTATCCCGTCATGGCACTATCAACCCAAACCTTGATAGTGCAATGATGCAAAAGTGAACTGCATGGCCCTATCCGGACTCCATAAGACACTTAAATTACTTTTAACACTTTCCCTTTATGCATTGTCTATCTAGTATCTTTATACAAGGTATTAATAGGTCTATCGTAAAAAGAATTGGAAATTAAAAATGCATCAGTTTGAAAGCATGCAATTTGTACAATGTTTTGAATATCCATAAGGCCACACATTTTAAATAAATTTGTAAGAATCCTCATGTAGTGTAAAATAATGTTTCTACCAGTAAGTAATATTATTATAAAATGAAAATGGATTCACCCTACTGTAGATTTATGTTTGTCCAATTTTTCATATCCAGGGTAGGGAAGGCAAGGGTGCAGCTTCTGTAGGCTTAATTTTTATATACTATAGAAGTACTTTCGAAAATCTGATGAAAAAATTCAAGATTTATGCTATGAATTGTGTGCTGTACAGGTAATGGCAGTGATGCCGGGGCAGCGTCTACGACGGCTCGCCTGGACGGAGACTCCTGGGTGTTAAACGGAACCAAGGCTTGGATCACGAATGGTTATGAGGCAGAGGCAGCCGTGGTAGGAGATTTCTCTGACTTTCTCTTCCTTCAATGAATGGAAGAAACCCTTAAGTTTGGTAACGTGGGCTAAGAAATATTATTGTACAAAGCCTAAGGCTAGTGAATTTTAGGGGACATGCAAGGGAATTTTTTAATAAGTGCATGTCCATAGGCAAGTTAATTTAAGGAATAAAAATACACCAATAAATACTTAAATCAGTTATAGCTTTTATTTAACATTTGATCTAAAATTTTAAAGTGTCACACCGACTTAATTTTGAAAATTCATAGTTGGGTCTTGGTAATCAATTTAAATACAGTTATTTTAAAAATCAGAATATGAAATGTACAAAAAATCTGATTTAAGGAATATGTTAATATGTATGTCATTAGAATTGTTATCATTTCAGGTCTTTGCAACCACAGATAAAAGTAAGAAACACAAGGTAAGAAGAAATATTGCCTATAGTTAAAATATTAGTCATTTTTTTAAATCTCAAAGCATAGGTGTAGTTTTTTTATGAAGCCAATCAGACCAGTTGTATTTCTACTGTCATTTTTATGTTTCCAAATTACCACCACTACTAAATATTGTTATGATATGTAAAACAAGTCATTCTCAGATTTGTCAAAATACATCTGATTGCCTGTGTCAGAAGGGTAGTTCAAGCAGCTGTTCATTATTTTAGGAAGATGTTGGTCATTGGTCACATACTTCTTGAAAAGTTTTAGTGTATTACAATAGATATGAAACAATAACTGATCAAAGAGATCAGTGACTCAATTTTATGAAAACTGAATGATAATATTCTGTCTGACAAGATTTCCAGTGAATCTTACTGCATTGCTCCAGTTTTCATTTACACCGAAATTACAAAGATTATCATGAGAATATCTTTTTTAAAAAAAACTTCGACATTCTTAAGGTTTTTTTTAAGGTTTATCTGGTAATAAAGATTAAACAAAATTTATAAGAATTAAGAATCTTTTACCAGACTTTTCTATCATTAAATTGTGCACTCTTTTAAGGGAATCAGTGCCTTCCTCATACCTAAGCCCGTCCCCGGACTCTCCCTGGGTAAGAAGGAGGATAAGCTAGGGATCAAGGCTACCTCCACTTGTTACCTCATCTTTGAAGACTGCAGGATTCCACGGGAAAATCTTCTGGGGGAAGAAGGATTTGGGTTCAAAATTGCCATGGTATTAAATAAAAACCTATCAATACATGTGTAAGATTTTCCTTTGTAAGAGTTGTCTTCCCTTCTTTATTCCATCATGTATTGATAAATTCTTATTTGTTAATTCAGCAAACTTTGGATGCTGGCAGAATCGGTATTGCAGGCCAGGGTTTGGGGATAGCCCAGGTGAGATTTTTTTTTTAACTTTGAAGTTTATATGTATGTTTTATGTATTGCTTTTAGTTCATTGCAGACATGTTATTCACACTGTACTGAAATAATCAGTAATATACAGGAGAAAAAATAACCTCATTACGGTATGAAAATGGAGTTTGCATAGAAGTTATAACAAAACACTGAGATGTGAAAGAAAGAGTATTAAATTGTAAAAGAATTCTATACTTAATTGTCATATTGTACATACATCAATTATTTATGAATTCAGGCTGCATTTGAATGTGCTATAGATTATGCTCAGAAGAGAATGGCTTTTGGAAACCCTATTTCAAAGATGCAGACAGTTCAGGTACAGTTTTCTCTTTGTTTGAAAACAGGTGACCTTATTAAATAAAAACTAACAAAAAGGTCATTGTCATATGACAAGAGTAATAGATACGGTTTAGAGGTCCTGATTTGGTTAGGTAAATGTTGGAGTCAAGTTTCTCTTTTATTTTTGATTTATAGTCCAAGCTGGCAGACATGGCTCTTCAGATCGAGAGTTCCCGACTCCTAACATACAAGGCAGCACTTCTGAAAGATGCTGGAAAACCATTCTCTAAAGTAAGTTCTGTAATCATTTTCGTTGAAGAGGTTAAATATCTGAATGAATCTTGCTATAATTTTTTGAACATTTATTTCAATAGAGAAGTTTCGGAAATCAGAAACTAAAGAGGAAGTTATGATAGGAATTTATCTTAACATCTGACATCAAAAAAGGTCATATAACTTAATCTGTCAGATACATTTGTAAAGTTACCAATGGCAGATTTATAATTTTGCTTACAACCATGAAAGTCATTAAATCTGCTGTGAGTTTGCTGCAGGTTATAAATAATGTTTAATGTACTGTGACAGAAGTACCCCAGTTCTCTTCTAAAGTTAATTTAATTTAATTTTGTTAAGGTATCTAACAGTCATCACAAAGTCTGTAAATGTTACTTAAGGTTACATTATCTTATACAGGAGGCAGCTATGGCCAAACTGGCAGCGTCAGAGGCTGCTACATTCTGTAGTCACCAGGTAAGTTGTTTCTTTTACCTGTTTACTGTTTTTAGCTCACCTGAGTCGAAGGCTCAAGTGAGCTTTTCTGAACACATTTTGTCCACAGCCTTCTGTCTATCTAGCTGTTTGTCTGTCCCTCAATCCGTCTGTAAACTTTTCACATTTTCAACTTCTTCTCAAGAACCACTGGGCCATTCTCATCCAAACTTGCCACAAAGTATCCTTGGGTCAGTTGAGTGAAAGATATTCAAGTTTGTTCAAATGAATGGACACACCCTCTTTAAAGGGGAAATTAGAAGGAATTAGTGAAAAAATAATGGCATCTTTTAAAAATCTTCTTCTCAAGAACTACTGGGCCAGGAAAGATGGAACTCATGTGGAATCATCCTCAGGTGATGTAGATTCAAATTTGTTCAAATCATGACCCCCGGGGGTAGGATGGAGCCACAATAAGCGATCAAAGTTTTACATAGGAATTTATAAGAAAACTTTTTAAAAATCTTCTTCTCAAGAACCACTAGGCTAGGAATGATGAAACTTATGTGGAATCATCCTCAGGTGGTGTAGATTCAAGTTTGTTCAAATCATGACCCCCGGAGGTAGGATGGAGCCACAATGGATGTTCAAAATTTTACATAGGAATGCAACTGTCCTTTTTCCAAAATTGAGAATTTCATTGCCCTGGTTAAGGATGGGGGTGGGGGATGTGTTGAATCTGTAGTGAAATTGCAGTGTTTGTTCCTGAGCATCAAGGCCACAACAGAGTACAAAGATGTTATAGACAAAGGTATTTTTACAGTATGTACTAGATTTTGAAGTGTTCTTGTGCTGGGAAGGCCTCTATTATTTTGTAGTCTACAAAGAGAAGTTATTCCCCTTTGACATTTACCTCTGATAATAGAATTTTCCTGCGTTTCATAGAATAGTGGGAAAACGTTGTATGATAGGAAAATATTTTATTGGATTTGCCTGTTTTTGGTAGGCATGGCCAAAGGAAGGCCAATGAGAAGGCAGTATTTTGTGAGACGTTGGGTCATTCTAAGGCCAGTACTCCGCAGAACACACACATGTTTTTGTTTATATCTATATTCAAATGAATACATTTTATATATAATATTAACAACAATATTGTCATATATTTTGATTTTGCTTTATTGTACATTTACATCTATGGTGTTTATGCATACCAAGTACTGCTCCAAATGCACGTCCGGCAGTTTCCGTTGAGGCATTATTTACATAGTGACAGACACAGGTTTTCCATAATTTCTCTTCTGTGTTTTTTTCTTGGGCGGTTTTTAATGTCTTTGATAGGGGTACAATGCATAGCATGTAACGTATAGTTAACAAAAACATTGCAGTAGTTCATTGATCACATACATATTAATGTATACCTGTTTATTAAGGATTGTTATAAAATAAATGCCAGCTGCTCCCACTAAGCTAGCCTGGCTTACAGCTTAAGTTTTGTATTATATGAGGTGTAGTCTGTCAAATAATTAGTGAAGGTTATACTTATTCTTGTAAATCATATTATTTAAATGTTAATTGAATAAGAGAATAATAAAAATATATATCATTGTACTTCTTGGATATTTAATACAATCATGTATGGAGATGTATCGGAGAAAGTGACTTAATGGGAGATCTGTCAGTTTAAGGCTATTGTCAGTTACAGTAATGCTGGTATCCCTATAGACTTGAAAATAAATGTAAAATCCATGTTAGATGTAAGGTTTAACTTAGAGGCTTGTTCTTCCTACTTAGTCATAAGATTGACAGAGGAAGGAGCATATAGCATGGTAGTACATGTATGGATATACATTGCACTGTGTCTGCACATAATGCATGCATTCTAAAAGTGGCCTTAATTGATAAGTTTATTTAACATAGGAAAAAGAGGTGTAATTTTCTTGAATTTTTATTTGACAAAAATAATAATTTTGGACATTTGTAGATCTTTCGCAGGAGCTCTTTTAGTGGTATTTAGTAAAATTAAGCTATAAGTTTCTACAGTCCTTGTTGTGTCAGTCAGTAATTCATTTACTCATACACTGTATTTCTGTGATATTTTATTGCTTATTTGTGGTCTTAATTTAAGTACCTTTGTGATTACTTAACAATCATACCCTAAGTACAAGTTTTTAGTCTTCTTTTGAATGTTTCCTTTTATGAAAATAGCCCATATAAGGATATTAACTTTGTGTTATGACTTGTCCTCTGCCTACTTCTGAACTCGACTTTAACCAGTAATTCGGGCTTCTAATTAAGTGACTCACTAGCAGCTGGGGAGAATTAGGTTGTTTGTTAAGCACTCATATTTTAATGACTGTAATTCTACAACTATATATAATTAGGGAAAGTAGTTTCCTTCATTGTTAATGACATCTTCTTGTATGTGGCAATAATTATATTAATGTTACTAGAATGTTTTACATTCATAAAAATGTTTCCCAAGTGAGTGCTTTTTTCCCCCTTCATTCATTATTTTTTGTTCTATTTTCGCAGGATTTTTGTCCTTTTCACTACTTTTTTAAAGTTGTTTGATGTATATGCACAATATACTGTTCTGTCTATTTACTCTATTGCCAAATCAAATCTAAAGTGATTGGAATTGGAAAGAACAGATGATCTTTTAAAGAAACAGATACTCTTTAAATTTTTACCATCCCTTTCTTTCATTATGAAGCTCTTCTGAATTGCCTCCAGCACCATTTATCAATAAGACCTCCTTTGAGGGTTTGTGATAGACTGATGTAGCTGTATCTAGAGGAATAGTCATCATTAATCGTGTCCTACAGGAAATGGAAAAAGCCAGACTCGTCAATGTTATTGATTTTAAGTTGTCATAACCGTACCAGGGGTATTTAGGTGGATTAATATCATGTAATGTCTGCAAAAGTCCGATTGAGTTTCAAATCAAATTGCAGGAGAAAGTTTACAGAATCTGGATGACTCATGCCATGTGAACCAATCAAAATTTGATGAAAGTACTTGTGTATTTTGATGTAGTTTTCCTGTCAGTCCTTTGATGTTTTCTATATTAAGTTTGTAATGAATATGTTTGTTCCTGGTTAATTGATCTAGGTCTTGCAATTAAGAACATGCCTCATGCAAAGATATGCCAAAGAATTTTCCATTATTTTATAATGGCTGCTTACTCAAGCCTGGGGCTGACTATAGAAAGTTTTATGATCTGGGAACCTAGGCAGATAAAATGTTGCCAAATTAATGAACATGTTAATCAGTCCAACTGATAAAACAATTGAAAATCGGAATATTCACATACAAATAAAAAATTGGAAATGAAAGTACACTTACGTTTTTAGCTCACCTCAACGAAGTTGGGGGAGCTTATGTAATACCCTCGGCGTCGGCGTCGGCGTCGGTGTCGGCGTCGGCGTCGGTGTCAGCGTCGGCGTCGGCGTCCCGGGTTAAGGTTAAGTTTTTTGGAGCAGTTTTCTTTTTAAGTACTTCTATGTCCTATATTGATTAGACATGCATGGAAGATGGTTCTAGTGTGTTTCATTGTACCAGTCAAAGTTTCAGATGCTGCAATTTTAGCAAAGGAATGACCAGGTTAATGTTTTTGGAGCAGGTTAACATTTTTGGTGCAGTTTTTGGTGTAGGTTTCATTTCCAAGTAACTATTAGCCCTATGTTAACCAAACTTGCATGGATGATACATCTAAGGATGCATACTACCGGGCTTGCTTCGGATGCTGAATCTGACCTACTTTTTCCGGTTGAGTGAACAGGTTAAAGTTTTTTGGTGCAGGTTTCATTTCCAAGTATCTGTAAGTCCTATGTTGACCAAACTTGCATGGATGATACATCTAAGGATGGATACAACCAGGCTTGCTTCGGATGCTGAATCTGACCTACATTTTCCGGTTGAGTGAACAGGTTAAAGTTTTTGGTGCAGGTTTCATTTCCAAGTATCTGTAAGTCCTATGTTGACCAAACTTGCATGGATGATACATCTAAGGATGGATACTACCAGGCTTGCTTCGGATGCTGAATCTGACCTACATTTTCCGGTTGAGTGAACAGGTTAAAGTTTTTGGTGCAGGTTTCATTTCCAAGTATCTGTAAGTCCTATGTTGACCAAACTTGCATGGATGATACATCTAAGGATGGATACTACCAGGCTTGCTTCGGATGCTGAATCTGACCTACATTTTCTGGTTGAGTGAACAGGTTAAAGTTTTTGTTGCAGGTTTCATTTCCAAGTAACTATAAGCCCTATGTTGACCAAACTTGCATGGATGATACATCTAAGGATGGATACTACCGGGCTTGCTTCGGATGCTGAATCTGACCTACATTTTCCAGTTGAGTGAACAGGTTAAAGTTTTTGGAGCAGGTTTCATTTGCAAGTAACTTTAAGCCCTATGTTGACCAAACTTGCATGGATGATAAATCTTAGGATGCACACTACCGGGCTTGCTTCGGATGCTGAATCTGACCTACATTTTCCGGTTGAGTGAACAAGTAAAAGTTTTTGGTGCAGGTTTCATTTCCAAGTAACTATGAGTTCTTTAATGACCAATCTTGCATGGATGATACATCTTAGGATGCATACTACCAGGCTTGCTTCGGATGCTGAATCTGACCTACATTTTGTGGATGAGTGAAAATGTTAGTTTTTGATGTATGTTTCATTTCCAATTAACTATGAGCCTTATAATGTGCAAACTTGCATGGACGATACATCTTAGGATGCACACTAATGGACTTGCTTCGGATGCTGAATTCGACATATATATTTTTCAGATAATAGACCAGGTTAAAGTTATGGTTGCAGGTCTATTACCAAAAAACTTTAAGGCTTTTATAACATTGTATAAACCAAACTTGCACAAATGTTGCATCAAGAGATGAAAACTCAAATTTGCTTTAGATGCTGAATTACATTTTCATGAAGAAGAACTACTTTAAATTTTTTATGTTGGTCTACTTCAAAGTATCAGACCAAAATTGCTTAGATATTTTCATTTTTGGAATGTACATTTTTTG